GCAAGAATTTCTAAAGGAGCAGCTGGGAAAGTCAGAGGACGAGAAAAAAGAAGAGGACAGTAGGTCCAGTGGCGAACTGGAAACTGGTTCATCTGGCGAGGACTCATCAGCCCCGAAAAGTCCCTACAAACTGCAGAAAAGAGAGAAGTAGTAGTAAAGGCTGAAGGACTCTGAATTGTGCCTTTGAGAACTTTGGTTCCAGGGGATGATGGGGGGCACTGAAATGTAAATGGGGAGGGTTAAAAGATCTAAAAGTTTGACACAGTTCATAAGAAGTACAAAGATGAAAAGTCTGGATGAAAAAAAAGCTAGTTGGAGGATCTCCTCTCTTGGGTTTTTAGTCAGTAGTGGGTTCTTTACTTTCTCCCTTATATGTAGTTTTTCCCCTCCCCCTTTCTGTTGTAGTTTTTTGTAGTGTTAAAAAAATCAATAAAAAATCCCCTCCGGGGGCTCAAAAAAACCCCAAAACTATAGTACAACTGTGAGCCTTGCTGTCTGAGCTCTGTGCATTAAGGATGCCCTTTAAACTGTAGTATTAGCCCTACCACATGACTATGCACTTAGTCAGTTGATCCTTAAGGCCTCTCCTTTAGGCCATATAAAGCCCTGTGTCAGTGCTTGTTCTTCAATTTGCATAGCTTGTCTTCGCAGATATCACCAGGTCCATGGCTAAGTCCCTGCCCTGATGCCTTTTGGATATTTTATCTCCTGTCTTATCTGCCTTTGGCCCTTTTGACATTTAGCTGCTGCTTCTGGAACATGACCACTGCCTGTTTTGGATTGTGCTACCACTGACTTCCCACTGGACTGGCCTCTGGCTTCCATGGAACTTGACCACTAGTGCCTGTGCCCCACATGAGCCTGACAGATTTGCAGATTAGACTGCCTAAACTTTATCTAAACCCCCCAAAAAGAAGCACTCTGGCCTTCATGACTTGGGATTTAAATTGTGCCATTATCTGCCTTCAGGCCTAGAAACCAAGCGGAGCTTGGGAAGGACTTCCAGGCATACACATCTCCTTGCCTTTCCATATGGCCTGTGGTCTTTGTCGTTTTGATTGGGTTACTCCTGGTAGCTCATACCCCTCTTCTTGCATTGCACCCTCTCACTCATTACTTGTTTCCACATGGATGTTTTCCTCTTCCTTGATTTCCTTACCACAGAGCTGTTTTTGAGAGCATTCACGTGTTGTCACCCTCTATTTTGTTCATTTCTGAGTGTCTGCTTTTTTGGATGCATCACAACCAAAGTGTCTTTTGATATCATGTGGATGTGACGATGCACATTTTTGCAGGTGCTACCCACATTGCCACAATTTTCTTATGTCATCCTCCATGGCCTCCCTTCTTTCTCCACTGGAGGGCTTTTTCAGCCTTTTTTTAAAGCAGTAATTAGCAGATTGCTATAGCTTGATAGTATTCTAAAAATCTGGGAACTAGTTGATTGTGACAATAGAACATAATAGTGCTACAGTACTATTGTGATCTAGCAATTCCTGATCTTTTTCTTAAAAGCCCTCTGATGGGTAAGATTGGTGTCTGAAGGGGGCTGAGGCAAAAAAGAAAAAACAGGGGAAACTGGTCTATAGACTCTATTTATAAAGTTATATTTTGCAAAATAAAACAGTAAAGCAATCTCTCTGGGTCCATCCAGAAAGAGCAAAGTTCCATACCTTGCCGAAAGCTTTATGTGAATTTGTGCATGGGCACACGTGCGTGCACACTCCATTTCCTTATGCCAGTATTGGTAATTAATAGATGGTGAAATTAGGGAAGGTGGCATAGGTGTGGTACCCAGTGACTCAGTGACCATAGCAAAGATTAAATAGAATGTCTCAGCTACTGAATGATTCATCCTTGAGGGCTGTCTGGTGATGCTGATGTCCCTCAGTTATTTACATTTGGTCCATTTTCCTAACTGATTATCCTCTTCTTTACACCTAGAGTTGTCATGTATTTTGGGGTGTGACACATCTGTGCCTCTACAACTACAGGATAGAAATTTAACTGGTGATGCTTTCCCCAGCAAGGCTTGGAGAGGGCTTAACCTGTTGGACCTCTGCCTGCCATGCATCAGTTTTAAAGGCACAAGGACCACACTAGGGGGGAAAGGAGCCAATGGCCTGAACCCTCTATGCTCATTTAATCTGTGGCCAAGTGCCATGAATTGAACAAAAAGTCTGTGATATGTTTAAATTAATGTGAGGATTGTCTCTACTTGCACTAAAACAAACGCTTTTAGAATATTTAAACGGGAAGCTTTTTCTCAATTTCACCATTTAAATTTGGAGCATGAAATCATATCTCAAGTAGTTTATCCTTATTGGCATAAGCCAGATTGATTTTTGCCTTGACCTGGATGGCCCAGTCCAGCCCGATCTTGTCAGGCTCGGAAGCTTCAGCAGGGCTGGCCCCGGTCAGTGTGTGGATGGGAGACCGCCCAGGAAGTCCAAGGTCACTATGCAGAGGCAGGCAAAGGCAAACCACCTCTGCCTTGAAAACCCTACGGGGGTCGCCGTAAGTTACCTGCAACTTGACACCACTTTCCACCACCACCACCACCACCAGATTGAATTCAGCTGGGGTTCAGTACGAAAACATCAAAACTCAATATCTGTCTAACCAGGGGTCATTTCGTAGAAAAAGAGCTAGGGGAACTCATTAGCATAACTCATTAGCATATGCCACACCCCCTGACATCACCAGAAGTGTGTCATAAGGCCACACCCCCTGACATCACCGGAAGTGTGTCATAAGGCCACACACCCCGCCCCCAACGGTCCCGACCGCCGCCGCCGGCCTT